TGTGTGTGTGTGTGTGTGTGTGTGTGTGTGTGTGTGTGTGTGTGTGTGTGTGTGTGTGTGTGTGTGTGTGAGTGTGGGTGAGTGTGTGTGGGTGAGTGTGTGTGGGTGAGTGTGTGTGTGTGTGTGTGTGTGTGTGTGTGTGCACGCATGAATGGTTGATAGGAACAGCCTTTTTTAACATTCCCCCACCCCAAAACAAAACAAAAAAAGAATAAACAAAATAAAAACCCAACCTATGCTCATGATAAGGACCAACGAAAAAAAAAAATGACCAAAGGAAAAAAAGGAGGAATGTAAAACATATGCAACCTTGATCATTTTCACTTTCATCTGATTTTCACAATAAATTACAATGCTAAAACTGAACACATGCAGTCATCAATCTCAGTGCGGACTTCATTGTAGCAAGATGGCTATGTAACATTGCTTCAGAGGCATGAAGGAAACAGAGAAAAATCATTGTCTTAGCTACAGGCTACAAGTAGAGAAAAAACAGCCAAAGATTCTAACATAAACTTGGAAAATAAGGTGGTTAATTTCAGCAATTGTTTTTTTAGTTTGGTTTTAGTACAAGTTTAAAGCCACATGTAACACAATCAGGTCATATACATATAAGAGCCAAAGATGAGAGGTGTTACAAAACAGTAACACACAAATAAAAGAAGGAGGAGAGATATGATAAAAATGGCAGATGTTTGAAAAGGGGGGGGGGGGGGGGAGAGCGTACCGCATTGGAGCAACCACCAGCAACCCATATGGCCACACTTTACAGGAACAGAAATAGACAACAGCTATGTTTTGTTTTCGTAAGTGTTTTACGCCACTTGCACAAAACAATAAGATCATCTAAGCGCCGAAGATTAGAGGAGTTACAAGAGAGTAACAAACACAAAAAAGAAGGAGGGGGGATACGTAAAGACAATAGATGTTTGAATAAGAAAAAAGAAGCAAACCACACCAGAGCACCTGCTAACCACCCAAATGACAACAGCAGTACGCTACAGGAGAAAAAGAAGCAAACCACATCAGAGCACACATCAACCATCAAAATTCTCTTTAAAAAGTACAAATGGCAAAAGTAGAGCTTTTTCTTAATTCAAAGATTTTGGATTGAAATATTTACGCTCAGAATCATTACCCAGTGAGGTTAAAGTTGTTTGCCATCGGCGTACTGCTGCAGCGACAGAATGTAAGACGTGAAGCCATGTATATACACACCCAAAACTTCCAAAATCAACAAATCCAGCATACCACTGGCGCAAAGATATAACAAAAAAAAAGATTAAAGTAAAACGTACCATAAAGGAAAGCAGTGGCGAAATTTCTTAACCCTATCCGTACGTCCTGGGGTCATATTGTACCCCGGTGTGGAATTCTTCACATTTTAGAATACCTCTAGTACGAAGATCTCTTTGAAACTTTCAGTATTTCTTAAACATTATTTTGACCGACTGCTATGCAAAGCGTACGGATAGGATTAACGAGTAAACTTCCTCTTGGGAAAGTGGCGGCACAGAGTTCCCCACGTCGTAGGGATACGACAGTAAAACACGACGTACGGATAGGGTTAATTAAGCTACATCATGATTTATGTAAACGACCAAACACGACAACGGGGTCAACTTGTTCAAACAACGAATGAGATTCAAATTGGGAAGGAAAAACCGGAACACTGCATGGTAATCACTGAGTAAACAAAACAAGAAACGTTGTCTATTCAACAAAGCCCCCCCTCCCCCCATTACTCAAAACACCAGTCTATTTAGTTATAGTAGAGGTTTTTACGGCGCTCGCAACTGCATAAGGTCATATGAGCGCCAAAGGGTGGACTTCAACAGAGAAGTCCTTACAGGGAATCAGACTCACTCTGCTCACCTCTCGAGCTTCAACAGCACAAAGTCAGCTTCGACTGTCAAGGCACCCCGGAAATAGCGGGTCACAAGAGTGGGACAAACGAACAAAAGAAGTAGACGTAAAATGACGATAGTAAGGATTAGGAAAGAAAAGGCAGCAGTTCCCTGTTGTAGATCAGGCACAGTTATGAGCGTGACATTGATGAATCAGCCTGTTTACAATTCTACTGTGCATGAACGAGAAATGTCCACCCTTTGGAAATGGCCTAAAGACACTTCAGTCAGTGGCACCGTCCCGGGGGGTCACCAGTTTGTGAGTACGACAGGCCACCCAACACCAAGGAGTCACTTGTCCACGAGTGGTACTGTATTCACAGTAGGGCTGGGCAATGAGTCGCTTTAGCGAAATCCGGATAATATGTTAGTCCACCTCTTCGGCAAATAATAATATGATATGAACCGCTTCGGAAAACGAGTTAGCATCACTTCAACAAACGGGTGCACCCACTTCGGCAAGCGGGTCAGGAAAGGGAGTAAAGAGTCTTAATTCGGACAATGCTTCATTGATATTTAACGGATAGATTATCCAGATTTTGCCCACCTTTAATTCAGTCTAAAAACTAAAGGAGGATGCGCATTCTTGTTTTCCGACAACGCCCGAAGAACCACTGTTTTTGGGGCATATGAAAAATGATGGATCACTTGATTATTCAAACTGATTTTTCTATTCTATTTTCTTTATTAGAAACTTAACATTCTAATTCTCCATCTTTCTCAAAATGAGTCAATGGTCAATGATATTAACGTAAAGATGAAGTAAAAAGAAAAAATTCTGCCAACATTTTTGAGAAAAATCTTTGGTACCTTTTCAATACTACTATACAGACATACACTTCTTTTTTTGTGGTTTATAACCTATAATGAGGGTGTGGTGGCAGAGCGGTTAGGGCGCTCGTCTCCGAAGCGGAAAGTCCAGGTTCGAGCCTCGGTTTGGACACAGATTTTTTTATGCTCCCTCCTGCCCACCCAGCAGTAACGGGTACCTGACTTCGAGTAGGGAGAGTAAAGGCCGCGTGGAAAGGAACTGACCACCCTACTACAATATGCCGAAGACCGAGGAAGTTGTCTCACCAACAAGGCAATCCTCAATGTCCGAATCGGATGGGGGAACAACTTTACTTTATATTTTATAACAAAGAAAAGAATCATTGTATAAACCAGAAAAAGTTCATCACATGCACTCATAATCACAAATTATATCTTTAAGGAACTAGGTTTCCTAAACGCAGTTAGAGTAGTAGTACATTTAGTGTGGCAGCACATTCAGAAAATACGTCAAAACATTAAGTCTTTTCAACATACCGAAAAATAAGAAACTCAATCAATATACGAAACACAGGAAGAGTAAAGACAAAGAAGAGAAAAATATTTAAAATCTTTGATGTTAAAGCAAGTACACCACTATTGCATTGGGAATTTACAGCTAACATTGAGTAGTAGCATTTTCAACAAAATCTAGAGAAATACATTGCAAACTTAACAGCTGACAAACAAATAAGAGGCGTGCTGACCAAATGAGTTACTTCTCACAATCCACAAATCTAAAAATAGACACATAAAATTTGCAGATTTGAAACTTATGCTATTTTCTTCAAGTTAAACATGCCTTTTATTATTTCATTTAACAAACTGTACAAACCCAATCTGTAAATTTCAAGTAACAATCCTTTGTCCATCGGGCAAAAATCTTAACTCATTCGGTCAGCACACGTCACAAATAATTTCTTTCTTTAATAAGAGTTTTCGGCACTTGCAACACAATAAGGTCATATAAGTGCCGAAGATTCGAGGTGTTACAAGAGAGTAACAAACATAAAAAAAGAAGGAGGAGAGAAAAAGACGATATATGTTTGATAGAAAAGAAGGAGCAAACCACACCAGAGCACCCGCCAACCACCCACAAATAATATCTGTGGATCCGAATTCGCACAGGAGCGAGAGAAATGGGTCAGGTAGACGACTAGTTTTCGCATCATGTAGCACCAACCTTGACCCACTCAATGACAAACAAAACACAAACTCACTCAATGACACAAACAAAACACAGATTCATTCAATGACAAAACAAAACATCGACTCCCTCAATAACAAACAAAACACAGACTCCCTCAATGACAAACAAAACACAGACAAACTCAATGACACAAACAAAACACAGACAAACTCAATGACACAAACAAAACACAACACAAACTCCCTCAATGACAAACAAAACACAGACTCACTCAATGACAAACAAAACAGACTCCCTCAATGACAAACAAAACACAGACTCCCTCAATGACAAACAAAACACAAACTCCCTCAATGACAAACAAAACACAGACTCACTCAATGACAAACAAAACACAGACTCCCTCAATGACAAACAAAACATCATAACACTTGAGAGAAACATTCCGAAGCTACAGACTCCATCATTCTAGTCACCAACGTACAAAATGAAGGCAAGATTTTGGGGTAACATATAATCTCTCCAGGATAAAATACAACATTTTTGTCTATAACAACAACAACAATAATAATTATAAAATAATAATAATAATAATAACATTTATCTAGTGCCAATCCAAGCTCTACAAGCTGCTATATATGCCTATAATACATCACCCTAAAGAAATTAAGAAATTGACCAATATAGAAAATCAATGATATGATAAATTAAGACCAAAAAAGAAAGCTAAAGTAAAAGCATAAAGGAGACTAAAAACCTATCTAATAATCAAATCAGTGAACGGGAAAGACTGAAAAATAATATCATCGGGGCTATTTTATTTTCCCACGCCTCTGTATCCAAGCCGTTTCCGTTTCTTTCAACAATATTCCCCCCTAGACTGAACCTCCTTTTTAGTTAGTTTTAGTTGAGGGTTTACGGCGCTCGCAACTGCATAAGGTCATCATATGAACGGCAGAAGATTAGAGGTGTTACAAGAGAGTAGCAAACATAAAAAAAAGAAGAAGGGGAGATACGGACGATAGATGTTCGATAGGAAAGAAGGAGTAAACCACACCCGAGCATCCGCCAACCACCCACACCGAACCTCCTTTGTGCGAGCACCTATTTATAAAAAGCTATTCAGTTCGACCTCATCATCCGACAGTTCATCGGCGAAGGTACACACCTTCACAATCTTATTTCTACACACCTTCACAATCTTATTTCTACACACTTTCACAATCTTATTTCTACACAACTTCATAATCTTACTTCTACACACCTTCATAATCTTACTTCTACACACCTTCACAATCTTACTTCTACACACCTTCACAATCTTACTTCTACACACCTTCACAATCTTACTTCTACACACCTTCACAATCTTATTTCAGACTGCGCTATCATCAGGCTGAGATGACAGCAGAACTTATAGAACCAAACGTCAAGACGCCCACCTCGAATTCCTCTCTGTACAAATCCAAGACTATGAAGTGAGCTAACCAAAACATGAAGGCAGCAGCATCAACTATAGAACATTTTGGTGCACACATTTCGGTGCACGAGTGGCGAACAAAAACATAACATGAGCAGTACTGCATACAGACGTATCTTAAAGGCCGCCAAAAATGACTGACACCTGTAGGCAATACTGCCTGCGACTAGTTCCCGCTGAGAGTGCCGCAATTGCTGAATAAAGCAAAGGACAGCGATCAGCTGTAAGAAGAAATGATCTTCAAGTATATTTGATTTGGCTTTAAAATAAAAATATTTTACCCAGAGAAGACAGGATATTTTATCATCTCGCCACATAAACATATCTTTAAAAATCATACACTGTCAGTAATCCAAGTTTTTTTAGGTAAAAAAGGACGGTGTAAATATGGACAACAGAGTCGCTCGGTAAAAACACATCATTAACACTTTGCCATCATATTTTGGGGAAAATCCGAAGAAACTGGGAGATTAACATCGCCACTAAGGGAGCAAAGTGTTAACTACAGCGTAGCTAAACAAGTTTTATCTCGTTTACCTAAATCCACCTCTGATTTGCAAATTGATAAAGCTTTTAATTTTAAAGTCAGTCTGCTTAGGCACACATTCAGAAATACGAAAACACACAGCTGATTACAAAAGATTCTTATAATTTACCACAAAATTCAGCAACTCTGTACACATTACACTCAAAACACAGACCTGCCAACCGCCTGACTACCAAAAAGAAGCAGTTTTCCTCAAAACCCTCCCAAAATATAGGAGTGTGGGCGGGGGAAACTTATGTCTCCAGATCCCCAGAAGACGAAGATTATGTAACAACAAACTGGCCGTGTCAATACAAACATGTACCATATTGCAAAAGAAACGCAAGTAAAGAAAATAAAACTGTAATTTTCATGCTATCGATGATAAGTCGTCACTAATGACCCGTCAAAAAATACGGAATTCAAGAAGAAAATCTGATTTAATGCAAATCCGATCACGGTTCTTCAACAAGTAAAAGCACAACAAGAAATTTATAATCTGAGAGCTAGCTCCGATTTCATCAGAGAACTTGGCAAGACAAACCATGCAAGACTAACAACTGTTGCCAGTCTGTAGAAATATCAAGCAGTTTTTCCTTCTCTTCATCTTTTTCAAATTCAACCACAACTGATACTCGATCAAACAAATATTACGAGAAATTTTCAGCGGATGAATTGTAGGTCCATGAACACCTTTGAAAAGGCATGGTAATACAGGTGAGGATTTCCTGAACTACAACACCTGTACAATGAACGTCAGGTGTTTAGACATTCTGCCGTGCCAAGGCAGACCGACGTATCTGCAAAAATTATTAATTTTTGTGTCTTTGTTTAAATGGACGCCAATACCCATTTGGAGATTCTGAATCTTGTGTCAAAGGCAGGAAGACGTATCTGCACTACAAATAAGATATTTCACCATGGCAAACAGACGTAACTGAAGGGCCATGCCCATATTTCCAATGGCAGCTTGACGTAACTCAAAATCATAAAAAGTGTAGATACGTCGCTCTGCCTTGGCATGGCAGCATTGAGCCTGTACAAAACTAGTTGCTTGATGGAACAGCAAAGAGAGGCATTTGAAAACTCAAAAATATTCCTGGCTAAAAGATACAAGTGAGAAACTCCACTTAGTACGATGAAGCTTTGGAAAAAGGAGTTATTGGATTGGATATGTGGCAGAAATTTAACAGCATAATTTTTTTATCAACTTCAAAAAATGTGGCAAAGTTCAAAAATAGAAATATCAGTGAGATTTGATTAACTGCACATTTTCCTCTTTTTTTGACTGCATCCTGGTTGACAATTTATAAGGGCCATTCTATGAAAAATGAAACAGCAGCGACAAACATAAAGCAGGGATGCTGACCTGTTGAAAACTCTGACAGAGATGTTAGTTCTTGTGGAGGTTGTTTTTGTGCTAGAAGAAGTTTGCCTCTGACAAATAAAAAGTAAAAAAATAATAAATTTTAAAAAAAAATCAATGAAAAATGGCTCAATATTTTTTGTTTGTAAGCAAGTCATTGTGGCCACCTCGCGTTCATTGTTACAGGAAGCAACATCCCTGCACTCCGGACATGTCCATTGAGGCTCCGTTGCACTCTCCAAAATGTCGCCGAGGGTCTTTCCACCTCGCGAGTGTCACTACAGTTGTATTTTTCATGGAATGACCAACAAACGGTGAAACCTTTACACAGTGACATTGCCGTTCCCGTCAGCGTGCTCCTGTGAATCTTTGTCTGTGTCGGGGGGAGTCACCGACTCCTCCTCTCCCAGCTGTTGCTGCACCCGCTGTTGTTGCCACATGTCTGCGTAATGGCCGCCGTGATCCAAGAGTTCTTGGTGGCTGGTGGAAGAATAGGACGATGAAAAGTGGATTTGTTAAGCCAAAAAAATAAAAAAATTGTTATAAGTAGGAAGAAACAGTTGGAAGAATAAGACGGTGAAAAGTAGCATTGTTAAGCCCTTCCAAAAAATAAAAAATCCTAAAGTTCTTGGTGGCTGTTGGAAGAATAAGACGGTGAAAAGTAGCATTGTTAAGCCCTTCCAAAAAATAAAAAATCCTAAAGTTCTTGGTGGCTGTTGGAAGAATAAGACGGTGAAAAGTAGCATTGTTAAGCCCTTCCAAAAAATAAAAAATCCTAAAGTTCTTGGTGGCTGTTGGAAGAATAAGACGGTGAAAAGTAGCATTGTTAAGCCAATAACAAAACACACAAAAAAGTTACGTTGCAAGAAACAATCTAAAGCACTACTGACAAGCAGGAAAATAATTAAAATCTAAATGTAAATGTGTCGCGACATGGTGGAATCAGGCACTTGTCAATTTTGGGCATTTCGAGTTATTGGTTTCATCTTAATGCTTGTTCATTTGCCTTGATTTTGATGACAAAGGGGTTCCGGCGGTGAACCGCTGGGAGCGGCTTGAGGGAGATAAAGAGTTCAAGATAAAAATATGTTCGACCGAAACGATACTCACGTTCCCGATTCTAAGATTTCTCCCTCGTTGAGCACAATGATCTGGTGTGCATGGATGATGGTGGAGAGACGATGAGCTACGATGATTGTGGTCCTGTTCTCACAGACACGAGCCAGGGAAGACTGGATGTTTCGCTCTGTCTTTGTGTCCAGGGCTGACGTTGCCTGGAAGGGAAGAGGGAAACAGGAAGTTCTACTTGGTTTGTTTTAGTAAGAGTTTTACGGCACTTGCAACTGCGTAAGGTCATACAAGCGCCAAGGGATGGATGTCAACAGAGAAGTCCTTACAGGGAATCAGGCTTACTCTGCTCACCTCTCTAGCTTCAACAGCACAAAGTCTGCTTCGACTATCAAGGCACCCCGGAAATAGCGGGTCACAAGAGTGTGACAAAGATACAAAAGAAGTAGAAGAAAAATGACGATAGTGAGGATTAGGACAGAAAAAGCAGCAGTTCCCTAAGAAAAACAGGAAGTTCTATGTAAGCATTTTACAGCACTTGCAAACAATTAGGTCATATAAGTGCCGAAGATTAGAGGCATTACAAGAAAGTAACAAGCACTATAAAAAGGAGGAGAGTGTTACAGGAAAGAAGGAGCAAACCACACCAGAGAACCCGCTAACCACCCACACTTGGAGTTTGACACAAACGCTGAGTTTTTAAACAGGATTAAATTTCATGGATAAATTATACATTGTTCAAAACACTTTTTTAAAAATTTGCCTGTAAAACATGTTCAAAATTAAATTGTTAAAATCTAAAGGGTTTTTGCGCTCCATCGACAGTTTAGATCATTAGGCCACGACGCAGTGGAATCAGGCGCTCGTCCATTTTTGGGTATATGGAGTTATTGGTATCATCTTAAAGCTTGTTCATTCGCCTCTTGCTTTCGAAGAAAAATTGCGATTAAAGGAGGATTGCCCAAGGTCTAACGATAACCAATCATCTGTAGAGAAAACTACTTGTCAAGCCAGACAGAAGAAAAAAAGGGATAACACTTTTCCATCAATTGGCTCTGAATAGATTTTTCCCGATCTGTCAATTGGATTTTTTAAAGTGATACGTTGTTTTGCCTTTCTTACAATGTGACTTCAGCGCAATAATTCGCAGATTAACGAATACATGAACTTTTAGTTTGCCCAATAATGCGCCGATTAATGGAAAAATGTTAAGATGACTTGAGGCTTCTCCTATTGCCAATAAAACAGTTTCGGCTGATAAGAGTTTGCCATATTTTGAGCATTGAACCCTTCCAGACCCATGCGTGTATATTTTCAGCAGCGCTTGTACCTCCCACAATCCCAAGAGCGTATATTCTCAGTTTCGGAGGGGTATCGAATAAACGCATTTTAAAAAATTAGCCACCTTAATTAAACTTTAATTTTCATATATCTGTTTATTTACCTCTAAACATTGTTAGATGTTGATATCTAAACCTGATTACAAAGACACTACACTGCTTTTTAGAATGCATGCCTCTTTTTCTAAAATACTGCTGTGTTGGCTGGGACTGGGGTTAGGGAGTGCACAAAAATGGCTGGGGCTGGAAGGGTTAAAAGTGTTACTGACCTCGTCTAACAAAACGATGGCTGGAGCTTTCAGCAATGTCCTGGCTATTGCCACTCTCTGTTTCTCTCCTCCACTCAGCTTGAGGCCCCTCTCACCAACAACAGTTTCATACTCTGGGGAAAAAGTGTAGTTTTAGTAAGTGTTTTACGGCACTTGAAACACAATAAAGTCATATAAGTAGCGAAGATTAAAGGTGTTACAAGAGAGTAACAAACACGAAAAAGAAGGAGGGAGAGATAGAGACGATAGATTTTTTATAGGAAAGAAGGAACAGACCACACTAGAGCACCCGCCAATCACCCACAAAATCTCTTTGAACAAGACAGCAAACCCCCACACAAGTATCTTGCACTTACGCCTTGGGAAGGTGAGGATCCGGTCGTGGATTTCTGCCGCCTGCGCAGCCTCCTCTACATCAACGTCCGACGCACCAACACGGCCGTAGCGAATATTGTACCTGAAAATAATCATTAATAATGATGAATAATTTGTGAGGCAGTGTGGTGAAATCAGGCACTTGTCAAAATAATGTAATCTAAAAAATCGGCATTTTTCCGGTGGTTTGGCAATTTTTGTCGAAATTTTGTTTTGAGGCTCAGCACCTTTTATGTCCTTTTAAAAACACATTTCTGTGTGGATGTTACTGAAAAACATCGATTAAACATACAAAATTTTCAGTTTCCAAGGACTCTCAAGCTTTAAAATTCAGTTCTTGTAACAACAAAATATGCCACAAGGTTGGGGGGGGGGGGGGGGTTTGGGGGGGGGGGGAGGGTTGCTTTTTTTTGTAAGTGTTTTACGGCGCTAAGAACTGCATAAGGTCATATGAGCACGCGGGACACATTAAACTTCTTCAGTTGGTAGGAAATTTAGAATTTTGCCCGGGAGGCGGCGAAGACTACTCTTATCAATTTTAGACCACCAAGGGGTGGTCATTTTGAGATGTTAATGTCCCCCCTTTGGGAATGGCCTAAAGGCACTTCAGTGGCACCACCCCGGGGGGTTGACACGACTGAGCTAGACCGACAGATCAGCATCACATGTAAATGATTTACCTGATGTCGCTGTTAAACAGAACAGTGTCCTGAGGCACCACGCCAATGCTGTCACGCAAGGATTTTTGGGTGACCTGGAAAAATAAAAGAAACACAAAATCATTAAGACACGGTCTTACTCAAAACGGATAAATTCTCAGAGAGCAGCTTCAGCTGTCATAAAAAAGTGAGACCAAAGAAAAGAGGAGTAATAAGAGATGATTCAGAACTTGTCCAAATTGGTTTCTTTAAAGGACAAGCAGGCTAACCCAGATTTCAGGGGTTTCCAGAAACCTTGACCTAAACGAAAAGCAGGCATTGCCCTACCTATAGGAGAAGTTTGGTTCATAGGTGTATATATTTGTTTGGTTATAGTGAAAGCTCTCCTTGTCTTTTAGAGAAACTAAACCAGGGTCCAAAAACCTTACCTTCGATTTTCTCAAAACAGCATTTTTCGGGACAGTTCCCTTGTGCTTAAAAGCGACCAATTAAACTTTAGAATTTCTGCAAACTTGAAAGGTCCCAACAACAATTGATTAGGTTTTCAGAACGGCAACACTGAATTGTCCCCTCTTTCTGTTATACTAATCAAGAAGTAATTTACTCAGTATACAGAAATTTCTTAATCCTGGCATTATAACTAAAAAATTCCCCCAAGTAGTAGATTTTTCAATAACGCCTTAAATCAGATCAGTTAGGTATCTGAATCTCAACATATTGAACTGAGACATTATTCAAATTTGAATCATTAGTTGGTCGCTTTTAAGCACAAGGGGGGCTATCCCGAAAAATGCTGTTTTGAGAAAATCGAAGGTAAAGTTTTTACACCTTGATCAGTTTCATTACAAAACAAGGAGACTTTTCTCTATAACCAAACAAATGTACACACCAAGGAAACCAAACTTCTCCTATAGGTATTTGGGTTAGGCCGCTTGTCCTTAAAAGAGACCAATTGTTATTCACCTAGAACTTTGAATCATAAAACATTAGTCTTCAAAAACATGGGTGCCAAGACATTGTATCCAAAATGTCATTGCTAGGTATTCAGGTATTAACAAAATATTTGAAAAAACACAAGGTTCTCTCCAATTAAACATTAGTAAACCTATGAGAATAACATTTCAGTACCTCATAATCTGTGGATAGGAAACCATTTTAAAAAAGTAAAATTGCTAAGATACCTTAGTAATGTCCTGCCCATCAATTTTAATACATCCGGACTGAACGTCGTAGAATCGGAAGAGAAGGCGAACAATCGTACTCTTCCCGCTGCCTGTGTGACCAACCTGTTCAGAAACAAAAATATTCTCAGAGCTCATACTCACTTAGATATATATAACAAGAGGACAAAAATAAGTTGTTGTTTTTTGGTTTTAGTTGAGGTTTTACGGCGCTGGAAACTGCATAAGGTCATATGAGCACCAGAAGATTAGAGGTGTTACGAGAGAGTACCAAACATAAAAAAGAAGGAGGGGAGATAAGGACGATAGATGTTTTGATAGGAAAGAAGAAGCAAACCACACCAGAGCACCCACCAACCACCCACTTTGTTTTTTTTATTTGGTTTTCTTTTTTGTAAGAGATTTATGGCACTTGCAACACAATTAGGTCATATAAGTGCCGAAGATTAGAGGTGTTACAAGGGAGCAACAAAAAAAAAAAAAGGAGAGGAGATAAATATGATAGATGTTTGATAGAAAAGAAGGAGCAAACCACACTAGAGCACCCGCCAACCACCCACTATGTTGGTTTGAGAAAGATGCCCTTGCTGTTTCAGACAAAATCGTGAAAGGCCTTCCAGTAAGTAAATAAATCAGTGTCACATGTAAAAGTTTACTTTAAAAAAGTTACAAACTTCTCTCCCAGAATTCGTCTTATAGGATATAGCAGAAGCCACAAATCATCTAAATCCTTGTTTCCTCTCTTTCTCTTTCTTAACTCTTTAAACTTCATTGGACCCTAGGAGCGTCTGGCAGTAATAACCCTGTTCCCCATCGAACGCTGGGAGCGTCCAGTACCAGTGACAACTGTTTTATTTGATTAAATGCTAGTTTCTTCTTGTTTTTCGGAACAATTCCTGATCCAAGTTTTTGTTTAGTACGGACTAAGCCTTTGTTTTTGCTATTTAAAGGTTGGAGGCAAACTTCGGGGGTTGTGAGACATATAGTGCACCAGGTTTAGGTGACTGTAGAAAAAACTCTGAAAAATGGTGGAAAAAAACTCAGGGTTTAAAAAGTTAACGAAATATTCTCCTCCGCAGATGCTTTGGTCATCGTCAGACATTGACGGACGACGAACTAGTCTTAAGAGAATTTAATGTCAGAGGTATTTTAAACAAGGATGACTGAATTTATGAGAAGCACAAAAGAGCAAAGTTTGGTACAAAAAACAAACAAAAAAACCCTTAGAAAAAAAGAAAGATGGACATGATTCATTTCATCGGGGCCACTAAATATCTTGTATGTATAAGTATTATTAAGAATTATACGGCACTTGCAACACAATAAGGTCATATAAGTGCCAAAGATTAGAGGTGTTCCAAGAGTAACAAACACAAAAAGAAGGAGGGGAGAAAAAGACAATAGATGTTTGATACGAAACAAGAAGCAAACCATGCCTGAGCACCCGCCAACCATCCAAAAATATCTTGTAATAAGGTAGACTCAAACCTGTCCATAATATTCACTCAATATCACAGAGTATTATAGACACGTGGCTGCTAGGGACAGGATCTGAGTTATGGTCCGACGGTTTAAAATCTGAAGTGTTGATTCTATCATTCCATTTCATTTCCATCAAACTGTTATCTGTTATCTATCATATGAGCTTTGAACATACAAACTTTGTCTGCAAAAAGGTTGGCCGAAAACTTTTGTAACAAGTCACCCACTTTGAGCAGGTTTGGAGACCAACTTGTTATCAAAATGACTGACCCTGGCTGCATCGGACAGAGACTGTTAAGGACAGGTAAAACAAAAATAGGAAAAAGTACAAGGGTGTCATGGCACTGTTGCCATTAGTAGCACAAGAGGTAACCGCTGAGGCAGGTTCGACTCTTCACTGTTCATTGTTTCAGGAAGCAACATCCCTGCATTGTGGACATGTCCATTGATGCTCCGTTGCTCTCTCCAAAATGTCGCTGAGGGTATTTCCACTGATTGTGCCAGTGCATACCTGGTTGAACGTTCTCGAAAAAACCTTATGTGTAACATTAAGAAGCCAATATCTTTTGGCTTTTAAAAAAAAAAAAAAAAAGTTTGTCAAAACAAAACATTGCGACTCGGCGCACTTACCAGGGCATATGTCTGACCACTGGGCACTGTAAATGACACATTTTTCAAGATGGCCTTGCTGAAAAAAATAAAGTTTTAGGAGCCGTTAGAGAAATATGATGAGAATGAGATAATCATTAGCATCTCATTTTCATTGCTGAAAGCTGATGGAGCAAATGTAACTAATAAGGGAGTTTTATATCTTAATAAAGTATTTAGTTTAGTTTTAGTAGAGGTTTTACGACGCTAGCAACACAATAAAGTCATATAAGTGCCGAAGATTAGAGGTGTTACAAGAGAGAAACAAATACAAAAAAGAAGGAGGGGAGATAGAGAAGACAGATTTTTTTATTTAGGAAAGAAGGAGCAAACAATACCAGACCACCCGCCAACCATCCACTTTATATCTCAATAAAGAATGTTGTGTGGAATTGAATTACAAATTGAAACTGTTGCTGCCGTTGTTGTTGTGTTGTAGCTGTTGCAGTGGTCAGTTCAGCTGCTCTTGAGCACGATTTTTGACCCATATCCTTGTTATTGAGCATGATTTTTGACCCAGCATCTTGTTATTGAGGGGCAAAAGTCTTAAAAACTTATTCCTTTTTACAGAACAAAGTATGGATATTGTCAGGGTTAGGAGGGAAAAGAAAATTTGAAATAAAAAATTATCTCAACTAAAAACTCTAATACACAATTTGCATACGATATGTCCATTAAAACACAACACAGATCTCATATTTTTCACAGGCTGTTTTGTTTTAGTAGAGGTTTTACGGCGCTCGCAACTGCACAAGGTCAAATGAGCGCCAAATTTTCACATGCTTACCCCATTGTTTCAAAGTGTATGAAAAGTAACAAAGAGGTAAATGGTAGCACAGAAACAGAAGGGTACACACCTGGGCTCGTAGTGGAAGGACACATTCTTGAACTGTATTTCACCTCCGGAGAGGACTAGGTCAGAACTATCTGGGTCATCTTGAATCTGGAATAGAAATCAATGACTGAAGCGAAATACAATGGGCCCTGCTTGAACCAAAATCTACAGGACTGCCAGATCTTCTTCGATCTAGCCGAGTCTTTGGTTTAAAAAGCTTGCTCTAATAGCATTCTTCGCTACAAGATGTCTCTGCATCAAAATTATTCAACTGCAAATCTTCTTTTGAAAACTGTACACAGCAGTGACGCTATTGTAATCCAATGTGGCTGTTCAGATTTTAAAAATCCGACCAGTGTAATTCAAATTCGTTTTACATGAAACTTCTCCTTGTTGCTGAAATCTGAAATTGTACACACTTAATCTAGAGAGTCGAAACCGTCTTATTTGAAAAGATGACTAAATTCAGTTAAACTCTTTTTCAGTTATCTTTACTTGAATTTTTGTTCCTTGACTTATTTATGTGAGTTTATTTGTGAGGCGTGCTGACCAAATGAGTTACTTCTCGTATTCCACAAAAGGAAGATATTGGCCAAAAATCGACACAAGGTTCAAATTTGTAGATTTTCTATTGATGCCATATTCTTTAAGTTTAACATGCTTCTTATTATTTCACATTTATAAATTGTAAAAACTTCACCTATAAACAAGGTGTACCTATTTCCATAGGGTTCGAATCTGAGAAGTAACTCATTTTGTCAGCACACTTCACATATACAGACCTGCCACTCTATGAAACCTCAAAATCAAGATCTCAGGGAGAAAAAATCGGGATTTGGTGAAAAAAATCCGGATCAACAGCAAATCACCAAGGTGACTGTCAAAGCTGACTTACAATTTTTGCAGGGGTGTCCATAAATTCCTTGGCCTATATGCTCTCTGCGTGTCTTTGTTTTTTTGCGCGCGCGCGTGTGTGTGTGTGTGTTTGTGTGTGTGTGTGTGTGTGCGTGTACATGCGTGTGCGTGCGTAAGTGCGAGTTATCAATATTTCTTGTAAATCCTGAAGCATCGTGTCAAGCACCCCCTTGTCCAAGTGTCTATACCCCCCCCCCCCTCCACCCCTACCAATAAGTCCCGAAATACATGAACTTAAGTTGACTCCGTCAACGGACGGTCCCCGACATGTAGAACTCACACGGTGATGATAGGTCACGTGACGCGAATGCGCGATTGAAACAATAAAAATTTTACTAACGGGTCCCACTAACGTTGCACGTTCACACAAAACACACGGGTGAGCGACAGTCGTTCTACTTCTAGAATAACGACAGCGGCCGACCGACCAAATATACCAACAAATCTCTTATCCCTCACATGTGTTCAGACAAAAGCAGCGGCAAAGCCGTATGTTAGTCTTGTCAGCACAGTTCCATGTAGTTGCGCAAGGGTTAGAAAGACTGTCGCTCGTCCGAGTGTTTGGTGTGAACGCGCAGTTACCAGACCTCGGACAAGGCTTGTTTTGAAAGTAACAGCGGAACTACAAACATTATCGATTATTAAATGTCCCAAATTGTAACAGTTACCAGGCTATCATCGGAGAATTCTGAGTGCGGGAATAGATCACACACAACTTGGGGCGCGTCAACTACTAAATGCGGCATCGAATATTTCGGGAAATAGTGCTCCACGTTCCTACTGATAAAAAGTTCAACGGGTGCTTCCCACGATAAAGGAGAAGGCAGAGTAAGTTTTTTGGAAAATCCGGCACAACAGCGGACTGGGATAAAAAATCGGGATACACGCGATCGAAATCGGGAAAATCGGGAGGATTGAGATTTGAGGCAAAAAATCGGGATATCCCTACTAAATCGGGATGAGTGGCAGGTCTGCATATATCAAACTAAAACTTCAGAGAATGTTCTCCTAAATGTTACCTCAACATCCTGGCCCAGCAGATCAAACATGTTCTCCATGTCAATGAACGACTGTTGGATCATCCTGGGGAGACATGGATTTTTTACCACACAGGTTACTTTGGGTCTGTTTTTTAGCAAGCGTTTTACAGCACTTGCAACACAATAAGGTTATATAAGTGCCGAAGATTAGAGGTCTTACAAGAGAGTAACAAACACAACAAAGAAGGAGGAGAGATAAGGACGATAGATGTTTGATAGGAAAGAAGAAGCAAACCACACCAGAGCACCCGCCAACCACCCACACCCAGGGTCAATTTTCTTCAGAGACGGACAAACAACCAGAGGTATGTTGAATGAAAAGTCAGCACATCCATAAATAATTGGGATAAGAACGGAAACTAGCAACCAAGCATGATCATTCACTTTAGCATGTAATCTCACACTCTTCGTCTTGATTTTTTTAAAAGTCAGCTTTAGTAAGTGTTTTACGGCACTTACGACACAATAAGGTCATATAAGTGCCGAAGATTAGAGGTGTTACAAGAGAATAAACAAACACAAAAAAGAAGGAGAGATAAGGACGATAGATGTTTGATAGGAAAAAAGGAGCAAACCACACCAGAGCACCCACCAACCACCCACAGTCACTCTCAGGTTTTGTCAAAACCTAAACATTATCATTTCAGGACCCAGAAACCAAGGGATTAAAGAGACTGAGAGAAACAACGCTATTAACTGACCATTCCTGAACAGAACAGAAATTCAAACTGGGTACAAAACTTGAGAGAACAGACCTGTTTAGTTTTAGAAGAGGTTTTAAGGTGGTCACAACTGCATAAGGTCATATGAGTGCCAGCACCCGCCAACCACCCACATTTAAACAAAAACTTGAGAGAACAGACCTGTAGTAGGTGCCGAGCCAGTTGAGTGGGACGTAGAGCTGGGCCAGGTAGGTGCCAAACAGCACGTAGTCTCCCACGGTCAGCTTCAGGTCATTGATGCTGTGGACCACGGCCCACGCACACAGCAGAGAGCCCGCGGCCAGGCCCACGGAGTTCACGAAGTTCTGAGCCAGGTTCAGCAAGTTCAAACTGGCAGTGGACTTCCATTCAAAAGACTGAAAAACAGAGGTTTGTTTGAGTAAGAGTTTTACAGCACTTGCAACACGATAAAGTTATATAAGTGCAGAAGATTAGAGGTGTTACAAGAGAGTAACAAACACAAAAAGGAAGGAGAGACCAGGACAATAGATGTTTGATAGGAAAGGAGCAAACTACACCGGAGCACCCGCCAACAACCCATCCTGGATATTAACAGGACACGCCGCAGGCCTGGTGGCCTAATCCTGTATATTTATGGGATGTGCTTTATCCATCGATATCTCCAGTGTTTTCCCGTTACAAGCTACGGGAAGTGGCGAGCCAACAGTTGACCCACTTGTTTCATTCCGCAAAAAATTTGGTGAAGTTAGGTGTCATCTTTTTATAGCTGTAACGGATAAAGTCAGTCACCCCCGCATTGCGATAAATGATTTTATAATAAATTGGGTGCAAAAAAAATTTACATAACCCCCAGACATTACCATTTCAAAATGCTGATAAAATAAAAACTCTTGGACCAATTAGACACAGTTTTATTTTTCTGTAAGAATATTTCTTTCTTTCTTTTGTGGCATTTCTTTTTATTATGATAGGTTTCAGTCTTTTCGTGGTTAACGATTCAGTATGCTCCAAAACTGTCAGGCTGCAATGGCTGTTGAGTTAAAAATAGCTCAGGCTCAAGTGCGTTAAAACAAGGTAGAGAGTGGAACAATTCCATTCATACCACAATATATCACACTGAACCAGATTTCCTCATTTCTCTCCATATTAAAAGCATTCGATAAATCTCAGAAGACGAATCTCATAATGACACATGAAAATAACCTCTACCTCAATTTGACTTATCTCTAGATCTAGACTGAGACTTTACTATAAAATTTGAAAAAAAAAAAAAAGAAAAAAAAAAGATCAGCAATTCTCAACAAAATTGTGAACAATCTGTAAACAGAGGTGTCAACTGACTCTGAAAAAAAAAGTGAGGTGGGCTGACAAAACGAGTTACTTTTCGGATTTCAGCCTAATGGTAATTGATACATCAAATCGATAGGTGGAGTTTGTACAGTTTGTAAGTGTGGAATAATAAAAGACACAGTAGACTTGAACAAAATGGCATCAATTGAAAATCTGTTAATCTGACCCTAATGTCGATTTTTCGACAATATCTCTATTCTTAGACTGCGAGAAGTAACTCTTTTTGTCAGCATGCCTCACAAATCTTTAACTTTTCAGACCTGGGGGAACCATGTGCACAGGGACTCAAAATTCACAGACCATATCAGAAATCGGGTATCAAGATTGTTCTTTTAAACATTTTTTAAATCCCATAATTAGGGAAACCCAAATAATTTCAGAAATCTGGATTTCTGGATTTATCTAAAAAATTGCCATTTCAGAGTCATGTACGGCTTCATGCAGATGGTCAATGTAGCTTAAGATGGTCTCAAGGTTGTCTTCATGCAGCTTCTTTCACGGCTAATTTTTCCTATATTTGAAGCGCAGATTCTGTTGCAGTGCTTCCATACAAGTGACATTCAGAAGAAAAAAAAAACTAAATCACCTGATACTCGAGAACCGCTCCCGTGTAGCGTTCTTTCTCCCAGTCGGAAGCCCCGTAGTACTTGACTGTCTCAAAGTTGAGCAGAGAGTCGACAGCCTTGGCGTTGGCCTCATTGTCCTTGAGGTTCATCAGCCGGCGGTACTTGGTCCTCCACTCGGTCACGATGAAGGTGGCGGCTGAGACAAGACACGGATCAGTTTTAGTTTTAGTAACAGTTTTACAGCACTTGCAGCACAATAAGGTCATATAAGTGCCGAAGATTAGAGGTGTTACAAGACAGTAACGTATACAAAAAAGATGGAGGAGAGATAAGGACGATAGATGTTTGATAGGAAAGAAGAAGCAAACCAGACACGAATCAGGAGAGATTGTTTTTTTTTGGTTTCAGTTGAAGTTTTCCTAGCTTTAGTAAGTGTTATACGGCACTTGCAACACAATAAGGTAATATGAGCGCCAGAAGATTAGAGGTGTTACAAGAGAGTAACAAACATAAAAAAGAAGGAGGAGAGATCAGGACGATAGATGTATGACATGAAAGGAGGAGCAAACCACACCACAGCACGTGCCAACCACTCACTTGAGTGAAAGTAAGTGCGTGTGTGTGTGTGCGCGCTGCGCGCGTGTGTGTGTGTGTGTGTGTGTGTGTGTGTGTGTGTGTGTGTGTGTGTGTGTGTGTGTGTGTGTGTGTGTGTGTGTGTGTGTTATCGCGTGTGAGTGTGTGAGTGCGCGCGCGCGTGTGTGAGCATATGTATGTGACAGAGATAATACAATTTATTAAAACATTCTAAGCTCCTTTAACACTTTGCCATCATATTTTGGGGAAAATTAAAAGAAACTGGGTGGTAAACATGGCCAATTGGCCAGGTGAGAGGGCAAAGTGATAAAAAAAAAAAGATTTTTCAAAAGACAAGAACATCCCTGAACACCTGGGGTACACTTCTTCTGTTAAGTTTTAGTAAGAGTTTTGTTTTATTTGTTTTAGTAGAGGTTTTACGGCGCTTGCAACTGCATAAGGTCATATGAGCGCCAGAAGATTAGATGTGTTACAAGAGTTACATACATAAAAAAGAAGGAGGGGAGATAAGGATGATAGATCTACGTTTGAAAGGAAAGAAGAAGCAAACCACACCAGAGCACCCGCCAACCACCCACTGTAAGAGTTTTACGGCACTTGCAACACAATAAGGTCATATAAGTGCCGAAGACTAGAGGTGTTACAAGAGAGTAACAAACATAAAAAAGAAGGAGGAGAGATCAGGACGAAAGATGTTTGATAGGAAAGAAGGAGCAAACCACACCAGAGCACCCGCCAACCGCCCACGGAATACTTCTTCAAAGCTCACACCAGCTCACAAACATGACATGCGATAAATAACCAAGCTTTTGCTCAGACTGCGCGTCATCGAGAGTGCAAATCCATCAAAACCCTCAAAAGCTCAAGAAGAAAACGTTTCACTCTCATTCGAGCAACTTATCAACACCAGCAACCAATTTTTATAAGAGATCAAGGATGAAATTGAGGGCTGCCAAGTAAACTATGGTAAGTCATGTTTTTCAAATTTTAGAGGAGAGACAAAAAAAACCCTGGATAATCTTGAAGCGTTTTGGGAGGGAGGATACACTTCATTTTCATAAGGGGGCCTACAAATGCCATGACAGACATTAGATTCCCTTATGAAAATGAAGTTTATCCACCCAAAACGCTGCGAGAAAATCCAAGTTTTTTTCATCCGGTAAAATTTGAAAAACATGACTTACCGTAGTTTACTTGGAGGTCCCCGATAAATGTGAACTTGAGGAAACAGTGTGAGGACGATTGGGAGAAAAATCCACAATAAGGAAGGCACAGGAAGGGGAAGAGTTCGGGGGGGGGGGTAAAAAGAAATATATATATATATATATATATATATATATATATATATATATATATATATATATATATATATATATATATATATATATATATATATATATATATAATGTTTACTATAAGTTATGAGTTTATCAAAGCAAAGTTCTTAACACTTGAAAAAAACCCACCCCGCAAAACATTTGAGCACTGAATTTTATTGTTATACCGGTCAGTAAGAAAATGCACTCAAAGTTGTATCTTACTTTTTAAAACTGAAAGTACGATATATAGTCCAAGTAATTTGTTTGATTTTGTGATGCCATTTCACAAGTACCACATAAATATTCATACAAAACGAGGGTAGGAAAATTGGAGAGGGTACGTGGACAACTTTTATCGCCAACATGGCGCAATCATTCAACGGCCAGCGACCGTCTCTCACTTACCAAGCTGCTCGTAGGCACAAAGCGAGAGCAAAATTTTTTTAAAAAAGAAGGAGAGATGATGATGATGATAGATGTTTGATAAGAATCAAGAAGCATACCCCATTAGAGCAGCACCCGCCAACCACCCAAATTCATGCAATTACAAAAAATCCTTCTATTACACCTATTTTAGAGAAAATTATTTTAAAATCTGGAGACCAACTGAGCTTTGCCACCACTTTAGAAGTAGGATAAAACCAGGGACACACAGAAAGAAAACTGGAATATGTGGTGGTATCATCACCCTTATCAGAAAAGTAAACTTTCAATAACCATATTATATTGCCACTTTTTCCTCACAAAGTACTTTAAAATTCATACGCTCCACTTGGGGAGATTTCACCCAAGATGGAATTATAAACAAATTTTTCTTACTCAAACCCCCCCCCTCCAAAAAAAAACAACAACTGTTCATCTCTCGTACATATCTAAAATGACAGCAAAATGTTGAAAGAAGCACGGGACAAACAAGTGGGAATCGCTTAACTGACCTTTGCTTACACTTCTGTCAAACGCGAAACAGGATTTTGAGTTCCTGAGAAACATATTTCACAATAACAGTCAAAACAAAAAGGGTGAAAAGAATACAAACAAAAAACCCAACAAAAAACCCCCTTCTAAGCAGCTGTAACTGTCCAAGACACCCACATGGTAAGGAAAAATAAAGAGAGACAGAGAGAGAGAGAGAGAGAGAGAGAGAGAGAGAGAGAGAGAGAGAGAGAGAGAGAGAGAGAGAGAGAGAGAGAGAGAGAGAGAGAGAGAGAGAGAGAGAGAGAGAGAGAGAGACAGAAAGAGAGAGAGAGAGAGAGAGAGAGAGAGAGAGAGAAACTTTTAAAAAACCAAAGAGAAGGGATAACCTAAACAGAAAGGAGGAATCGTTTATTTTTAAAAAGGTCTTTGGTTTATAGTACTTCAAGCCTTTAAGATAAATGCAGAAACCAAATTCCTTTCACAAAGTGAAGAAAGCAAAAAAAAAGTGACCCAAACTTAGGCAGTGATATAAAAATAAACCATAAACTATAACAACCTATTTCAGTTTTAAAAAAGGGAGAAAAAAAATGGAGAAAAGAAATCCACTCACCCAAGTAGAAAGCCATACTGATGAAGACAATGATTCCAAACAAGTAGTTGAAGAAGGTCACGAAGTACACAATGGCGATGATGATGTCAGCGATTGTTGGGAAGATTTGGAAGACCAAATAACTGAGGACAGAGGAAAATATTTTATTTTGTGCGAGAAAAAAAAAGCACAATGATAACACGTTGAGCAGCCATTTCAGTTCAAACTTTAAAACAGTAATGACTTAATTAAGCAAGATTCCAGCCCCAACAGACTTTGGAAAATAGAGGATCAAGAGCAATTCATAATTGTATAGAGAGTGACTCAAAATTCCAAAGCCCAAATATCAACACTCACAAGAATATTGATAATATTAATAAAGACCAGAAAAAAAAAAAAAAAAACACACAAAAATTCAAAATAATAATAGTAATAAAATAATAATAATAGTAATAAAAAGAAGAATAAATAGCATTTGTATCGTACATATCCCCACTCAACAGCAAGCTCTATGTGTTTTACAATCTATACTGTCACCCCAGTGGATCCAAGAACACTCAGAAACATTCTCCACTTCCCTGAAGTTAAATCTGTCACTTCTTTTGGATGTTTGTCACACTCTTGTGACCCGCTACTTCTGGGGTGCCTTCATAGTCGAAGCAGACTTTGTGCGGATGAAGCTAGAGAGGTGAGCAGAGTAAGCCGGATTCCCTGTAAGGACTTCTCTGTTGACATCCACCCCTTGGCGCTCATATTTATACCTTATGCAGTTGCGAGCGCCGTAAAACCTTTACTAAAACAAAAGAACAAAGGAAGCCATTTTGGTACGTTTCTCACTTCAACAAGCTGTTGATGCTGTTGGTTCCTCTGTCAATGACCCTCAGAACTTCGCCCGTCTTTCGACCCAGATGCCATCGCAGGGAGAGACTGCAAAGACAAATACAAATATTAGCATGCCGAACATGTATCATCTGATCATACAGGTAACCAGGCGCGGCAAATTTTGTCAACTTGCGTGACGTACATAATACGGCTCACATCACAGCCAAAAATTACATTTTCGTGAGGACCCAGGTAAGTCATGAGGCGAAGAAGGGGGTTAACGACCAATTTAGTGATTTGGTGTATACACATGGGTCTTAACTTAGAATGTTAAAAAAGGAGGAACTTTCCGCGCGACCGCGACAGACAACCATTTTCGTAAGACACCCATTATTATTATTATTATTAAACTGTTTAACCCTAAAATGTTGAAATAAAAACCATCAATTTAAAAAAGCAAGATTATTTCATACCAATTTGAGGGTTTGCAAAACAATTTCTAGTAAAAGAGCCATTTACCAAATATTTACAATCTTGATTATATACAGAAAGTGGTGGCGCATTACTAGTAGGTACCCCTCCCAGTAGCAGAGGAAACGGCAGTAGCGGAAATCAGCTAAATAGTGGAATATTGAGACCCATTATACATCACTTTTAGATTTCATACTAAAAGAGGGCCCCACATTATGGGTTAACCCCCTTTGGAAATAAAGAGTCAAGACAGGGCCAGCATAGCTGGGACCAGCACTGATGTTTTCGTATTCACTTTGAATACCTTCCGTCTCTAATTTCCATATTATGGAGGAAATGTAAATAAAGTGCATTTCTTTTTCTTTTTTTCATTTTGAAGTTACAGAAATTAAGTAATAATAATAATAAATGACATTTATATAGCGCTTAACACTGATTAAAGTACACAAGCTCTGAGCATTTGACAATACAGTACAAATACAACAGTAACATAAAACGTTGTGTTCTGACTAAAAGAAAATCACTCCAAATATTCATCTTATTACTTAAAAATACGAAACGACTTCAGCTGACATTTGAATGAATCAAACGATTTGATCTCTCTTAAAGTACTTGATAAAGCATTTTAGATCTCCGGGCCTCAGTATTCAAAGGCCCTTTCACCCATTGTTTTAAGTCTCATAGATGGTAAAATAAAGTGCATTTCTTTTTCTAAAATTTTGACACTACAGTAACATAAATAAAGTGAATTTCTTTTGATTCCATTTTTTTTCCTAGAGAAATGTAAATAAAGTGCATTTCCTCTCTTCCATTACCTATGCAAATGTGAGAACAATTTGATCTGGATGGAGCGAGTGGTGAACTGCTGAACCTTAATCCACAAAAGACTCCTCACGTTGTTCAACAGTCCAGTGGTACCTGGAACAAAAACAACCCAAAAGCAGTCAAACATGCATTCATTAAGAAGAATAAATGAAGACTACAGGGGAAAAACGGCTTTTGTCATAACCTGAAAATCACGAGGATACTAATGGTGAACGCTTGTTGACTCATTTCTGTTCAACTGTAGGTTGATTATTGTTGTTGTTAGATTTCCCATTTACCAACATTTAACAATACACCACCAGTCAAACAAACATGAATTTATGAGTCCACAAGCTGTTAAAATTGTACCCTCACAATTTCCAGTTTGTGACTACAGTAGTTTTTCCCCTGTGCTCTTCAAACATAATTTAGTACAGTGCAAATCCCCGCTCTATAGCAAGCTATGAGAGCTTTACAACCTATGTCATTAGCCAAGCAGACCTGAGACCACTCCGAAACTTTCTCAGCGTCAGTACAAGCAGCCAATTAGGCGTTGAAACACAAACTGACAAGATCTTTTTGTGCTTTTGGCCTGGTAATTATTCCCAACTCGGTGATGGGAGGAAAATTTGTGCGTAAAGTGCGTTTCCCAGGGACATAACCTCACACCCTTGATGGACTTCAAACCCGGGACTTTTCCTCTGCGAGCCCAACGGCCCATCAATAAAATTTACAAACATATTGCCTACAGTGACTTCACAATACAGCAACAAAAACAAACTACTCATTCACGAAAATTCATACATTAAAACGAAACAAGCAAATTGATTCTGGAAAATGACATGGCATATCTACAGCTATCGCCTACCAACAAACTGTTCTCATTTACAACTCTCTCTCAAGTGCCAGGTCAGGAACAGACATAATCAATCGCGGCTGTTCTCTCCTCCTTACTAGATTAGATCATCCTCACCGATGGTGCAGTAACTTGACCATCTCCATCTGTCCAAAAATTGTAACTCTTTAAAATAAAATGCTTCACGACGCGGTGGAATCAGGAGCTCGTCAATTTTCGGGGCACGAGGAGTTATTGGTATTATCTGAAAGCTGATTTATTTGTCTTTCTTCCAATGAAGTAAATATCAGTCTATCTTGAACAGAACTCAAGATTTTTGCGATTGAAGGAAGTGAGGGTGCATGGTTTCAGTGGTGAAATTAATGAGAAAATGGTCGCCAAAGTTTGGTAACTCCAACAGCTTAATAGTCTTTAAAAAAAGAAAAATGACATATTTTGTGCCTTTCATCAATTTTTTTTCAGTAAAATTCACATGGAAATGTGTTTTTATATAAATGGACATAGAAGAGGCAGAGCCAAAAAATAAAAATTCGATAAAAATGTCCAAACTGGCTGAAATATGTCTGTTTCTCCGATTTCTGTATTTTGAGGAGCGCCTGATTTCACCACCCTGCCTCACACAGGGAAATTGTCCAAGACGACCACCCTTTGACGAGGAGAAAAGTGGTTGTCTTGGTCTTCGACAGGCGGAGGCCTTCGAAAGTGTTATCATTAAATCTGTCACGGCACGGAGGAATCAGGCGCTCGTCAATTTTTCGGGAATATGGACTTATTGATATCACCTCCTAGCCTATTCATTTGTCCTGCATTTAAGGATGAAAGTACCCATCTACGTTGAACAGGAGTCGAGATATTCGCAACTGAAGGAGGTGGGGGACGCCTGGTTTCCGAGGTAAAATTATTGAGAAAATGGTCGCCAAAGTTTGGTGATTCCCAAAGCTTGGGTATCCGTGGAAACTACAAATTTACATTTTTTGTGCCTTTCTTCAATGTTTTTCGGTAAAATGCATGCAGGAATATGTTTTTTAACACTTGGCCATCATATTTTGAGGAAAATCCAAAGAAACAGGTTGGTAAACATGGCCGATCGGCGAGATGAGGAGGCAAAGTGTTAAATGATATGAAAGGTGCTCGGCCAAAAATGCAATATTCAATAAAACTGCCCAACGGACGGAAAAATGTCCATTTCTCCGATCTCATTACTTTGACGAGCGCCTGATTCATCCACGTTGTGACACATATAGAAAAAAACACATTGGGGGGGGGGGGGGGGGGGGAGATTGTTCGTTTGCACAGGTGACTGTCTTGGACAAGTGGCCATTTCAGCAGGTTCAACTGTATTTGTATAAGTATTTCTATGACCTTTACAGCATGTACTACCAGAACACCATTGAGTTACTATCAGAAAACTGACCGTGTATCTAGCTTAACACTTAGCCATCACAAAGCTCATATAATAAAAACTCTTGCCATCAAAGGCAAAGGCATTTAGGGGAAAATCCAAAGAAACTGAGAGGCAAACATTGCCGACCGGCGAGATGTGACGGCACAGAGTTAAACATTACTATTGCTTACAGTGTTATCTTATTTTTATGACATGCTTGTGACTGTGGGTCTATTTGTGAGTGCACATATATATTAAGGGTGTATGCGTACAGATTCAAATGTGAAGTCAGTCCTGCTGTATGGATGTGAGACGTGGAACGCATCACAGACTTGAATAAAGAGGATCCAGGTTTTCTTAAACAAGTGTCTAAGAAAGTTACTGAGTATCAGACGGACAGACAGGGTCATCAACGAGGAAGTGTTGAGAAAAACAAGACAGATCCCAGTCAGAGATGAGGTAGGAAGAAGGCGGTGGTGATGGATTGGACATACTCTCAGGAAGTCAGGCAGCTGCATAACAAAGAAAGTTTTGGATTGGAATCCACAGGGCAAGAGATCAAGGGGAAGAATGCGTGGAACCTGGAAAAGAACCACAGAAATTGAGGTACAGAAAAGTGGGAAAACATGGAATAACGTCAAGAGGCTAGCCCAGAATAGAGAAAGGTGGAAAGTGTTGACCCGTGGCCTATACCCTGGTGCTGGGTGAGAAAAGCAATGATGATGATAATGCGTACAGATTGTGGAAGACAGACGCGTAAGAGAGTATGTGTGTACAGGTAAGCATGCGTGCATGTGTGTGTGTGTGCATGTATGGTGAAACACACTAAACCAACGTGCCAACATGTGGATAAATAAAGAATTATCTTATCTCACGCCTGCTTTACTCTGGCGTTGACCAGATGACAAGGACATGTGGTTACTTGAGGGAGGCATTGCGCTGCCAAGAGTGAAATGCTCGCAGCTAAAGGGATTTGAAAACAACAACAACAATCTTATCTCACAAATCTGTTCTCTTATTGTACAAACCTGTGCCGCCGCCTTTCAGAAACGTCAGCGCAGCAAAAGTGAGAATATAGTCCCATCTCCACTCAAGGCTGGTCTGCTCAGACTCTTTATCGTAAGTGAGGCTGTTGACTGGAAGAAAGAGAAGCGTACCAGAATAGAGCTATGACATCAAGGCGGACCCTGTAATTGCTATTTCCAAAGTATATCTCATAAGTGAAACTGTTGACTGGAAGAAAGGTTTTTTTTTAGCTTTAGTAAGTGTTTTTACGGCACTTGCAACACAATAAGATCATATAAGTGCCGAAGATTACAGGTGTCACCCACATTTGATATATTCAAAACAGTTATATGTCTCTCTCTCTTCTGGCGCTGTGGCTTCATAAACGGTCAGCCATGCCGACAGCACGCAGGAATTCAACACTCGCACGCGGGTCCTTAAAAAGTGCTGAAAGTGGGTAACAGTTATATGTGAAAGAAGAAATGAAACTCTCGTACCAATCAGTTGACTGTTTATGGGAAAAAAGACATTGGTATGACTTGTCATTTTGTGTTTAAGATTTAACTTACTCCAAACAGTTATATGTGAAAGAAGAGATGAAACTCTCGTACCAATCATTTGACTGTATATGGGAACAAAGACTTTGGCATGATTTGTCATTTTATGTTTAAGATTTAACTTACTCCAAACAGTTATGAGTGAAAGAAGAAAGGAAACTCTTCGTACCAATCAGTTTACTGTATATGGGAACAAAGACATTGACCACTCTCCCTGCGCCAAGAAGAATGAGACAAAGGAAAACAGTGACCTGAAAAGAGAGTGAACAAAATTTTCCAAAATCAAATATACATCATGTATTAACATATGAACGGATCACTTGTAAATCCAATCTTTATCTAAAGGTGTAATACATCTCTGTAATATCTGTTACATGAGCAATAACTCTGTTTGGTTCGCTATTGTTAATTGCCGTAGTTATGTCTCCTTGTTTGAATTCATTAATTTAGCACTCTTCAGGATGAGCGATAAAAAGTCATGATTCAGTAGTGTCATAAACATCCAACACGGTCGGTTGCTGATTTCTGTGTACGATTGTTGCGCTGGACTATCCGTGTGTATCTAAATTATGATGAGACATCACAAAAGGCTTCACATAAGAAGTTTTTTTCTCACACCCGCCAACCACCCATGACAACAAAGTACCTGCAACAGAGGACTTCCTTTGGGCCACACGTACGGCAACATCAGTTTCATCTTGCTCATGACGTTCTTCCACGTCGAGTGATTCTGTTGAGAGTTATTGCTGGACTGGCTCTGAAATAAAAAAAAAAAACAACAACCCCAAAAGTCACAAAAAACATCTTCAGAATACAGTGGATTTTTCGTGTGTTTTAGATAGTGTTTTTTAAGGTGCTAGCAACACAATAAGGTCATATAAGTGCCGTAGATTAGAGTTGTCACAAAAGAGTTACAAAAATAAAAATGAAAAAGGGGAGATAAAGACGATAGATGTTTCATAGGAAAGAAGGAGCAAACCACATCAGAGCACCTGCCAATCACCCACTTACGGCACTTGCAACACAATAAGGTCATATAAGTGTCGAATATTAGAGGTGTTACAAGAGAGTAACAAACACAAAAATGAAGGAGGAAAGATTAGGACGATAGATGTTTGACAGGAAAGAAGGAGCAAACCACACCAGAGCACCCGCCAACCACAGTAGTTTTGGCTCTACAGAGTTGATTGGATTTGATTGAGTAGGTGTTTTACAGCATTATCAACCCAATTTTGGTCAGCTCTAGAGAGTACAGAGGAGCAAAACTATCAAGCCCCTTTAGACATGACACATGAACAATAACATACAAGAATTCAATGAAATATCTCATCTTTCAACAGAAAAAAAAAAAAAATACTGAACAAAGTGATGATTATACAACGTTTATTCATATTTATCAAGAGATATGAAAATAGCGTCCAGATATTATACATGTGTACGTGTGTGTGAGTCTGTGTGTGTATGTCTCTGTGCATGTTTGTGTGAGTGTGCAAGTTTGTGTGTGTGTGTGTGAGCATGTTTGTGTGTGTGTGTGTGTGTGTGTCAGTATGTGTGCGTGTGTGTGCATGTACGCGTATGCATGTGTGTGTATATATGTGTACGTGGTGAAACACCAAACCAAAGTGCCAGGATCTGGACAATAAAGGTGTATCTTTTCTTACCTCTTCATCTGAAGACAGCGCTGTGAAAATTGATCTTTGGACCGACGGCCCCACAAAGCCGAGGATGAGTAAACACAGGACCAACACAAAACGCAGGATGAACAGGCCGAACTCCACCTCATCATATTGTCTGGAAAGAAACACAAGCAGTGGAAGAGTGCTATCAGTAAAACAAATCAATTAAAAATTATCTCCATTTTACAGTGGAAGAGCGCTATCAGTAAAACATATCATTAAAAAAATGTTACTGCATTTCACCATTACACGAAGAGGGTCATTTTGTGTTTAAGATTTAACTTACTCCAAACAGTTATATGTGAAAGAAGAAATGAAACTCTCGTACCAATCAGTTGACTGTTTATGGGAAAAAAGACATTGGTATGACTTGTCATTTTGTGTTTAAGATTTAACTTACTCCAAACAGTTATATGTGAAAGAAGAAATGAAACTCTCGTACCAATCATTTGACTGTATATGGGAACAAAGACTTTGGCATGATTTGTCATTTTATGTTTAAGATTTAACTTACTCCAAACAGTTATGAGTGAAAGAAGAAAGGAAACTCTTCGTACCAATCAGTTTACTGTATATGGGAACAAAGACATTGACCACTCTCCCTGCGCCAAGAAGAATGAGACAAAGGAAAACAGTGACCTGAAAAGAGAGTGAACAAAATTTTCCAAAATCAAATATACATCATGTATTAACATATGAACGGATCACTTGTAAATCCAATCTTTATCTAAAGGTGTAATACATCTCTGTAATATCTGTTACATGAGCAATAACTCTGTTTGGTTCGCTATTGTTAATTGCCGTAGTTATGTCTCCTTGTTTGAATTCATTAATTTAGCACTCTTCAGGATGAGCGATAAAAAGTCATGATTCAGTAGTGTCATAAACATCCAACACGGTCGGTTGCTGATTTCTGTGTACGATTGTTGCGCTGGACTATCCGTGTGTATCTAAATTATGATGAGACATCACAAAAGGCTTCACATAAGAAGTTTTTTTCTCACACCCGCCAACCACCCATGACAACAAAGTACCTGCAACAGAGGACTTCCTTTGGGCCACACGTACGGCAACATCAGTTTCATCTTGCTCATGACGTTCTTCCACGTTGAGTGATTCTGTTGAGAGTTATTGCTGGACTGGCTCTGAAATAAAAAATAAAAAAACAACCCCAAAAGTCACAAAAAACATCTTCAGAATACAGTGGATTTTTCGTGTGTTTTAGATAGTGTTTTTTAAAGTGCTAGCAACACAATAAGGTCATATAAGTGCCGTAGATTAGAGTTGTCACAAAAGAGTTACAAACATAAAAATGAAGAAGGGGAGATAAAGACGATAGATGTTTCATAGGAAAGAAGGAGCAAACCACATCAGAGCACCTGCCAATCACCCACTTACGCACTTGCAACACAATAAGGTCATATAAGTGTCGAATATTAGAGGTGTTACAAGAGAGTAACAAACACAAAAATGAAGGAGGAAAGATTAGGACGATAGATGTTTGACAGGAAAGAAGAAGCAAACCACACCAGAGCACCCGCCAACCACAGTAGTTTTGGCTCTACAGAGTTGATTGGATTTGATTGAGTAGGTGTTTTACAGCATTATCGACCCAATTTTGGTCAGCTCTAGAGAGTACAGAGGAGCAAAACTATCAAGCCCCTTTAGACATGACACATGAACAATAACATACAAGAATTCAATGAAATATCTCATCTTTCAACAAAAAAAAAAAAATAATACTGAACAAAGTGATGATTATACAACGTTAATTCATATTTATCAAGAGATATGAAAATAGCGTCCAGATATTATACATGTGTACGTGTGTGTGAGTCTGTGTGTGTATGTCTCTGTGCATGTTTGTGTGAGTGTGCAAGTTTGTGTGTGTGTGTGTGAGCATGTTTGTGTGTGTGTGTGTGTGTGTGTCAGTATGTGTGCGTGTGTGTGCATGTGTGCGTATGCATGTGTGTGTATATATGTGTACGTGGTGAAACACCAAACCAAAGTGCCAGGATCTGGACAATAAAGGTGTATCTTTTCTTACCTCTTCATCTGAAGACAGCGCTGTGAAAATTGATCTTTGGACCGACGGCCCCACAAAGCCGAGGATGAGTAAACACAGGACCAACACAAAACGCAGGATGAACAGGCCGAACTCCACCTCATCATATTGTCTGGAAAGAAACACAAGCAGTGGAAGAGTGCTATCAGTAAAACAAATCAATTAAAAATTATCTCCATTTTACAGTGGAAGAGCGCTATCAGTAAAACATATCATTAAAAAAATGTTACTGCATTTCACCATTACACGAAGAGGGTTGGAGGGAGTCACTGGTAGATCCTGTTTTCTTTTTTTCTAAATATTAAAAAGGAATTTTGTCAGTCTGATGTTTCTATCTCTGCCTCCTTGATTTTTCATCACTAAATGACTGTTTTGTGTCAAACAAAGTATTATCTAAACTTACCTTATTCTATTTCACCTCTGGGACAATTAAGTATTAACTTATATTATAAAGTATTATCTTATATAAAGTATTATCCTATATAAAGTATTATCCTATATAAAGTATTATCCTTCATTATCTAGCTTATTTCCCATAGGACAATAAAGAATCATCTTATATAAAGTATTATATTATAGAAAGTATCATCTTATATAAAGTATTATCTTATATAGAAGATTATCCTATATAAAGTATTATCTTTCATTATCTAGCTTCTTTCCCCTGGGACAATAACGTATTTTCTTATAGTATAAAGTATCGTCTTATCTCTATCTCTATCTTATTGTACAGTTGCCACTCACGTCTCGAGCTGCCACCACCAGGCAGGGTCGTTCCAGGACACAAAGAAGAGCGTCTCCCGTATGAGGAACAGGCCCCAGAACATGAGCAGCACGATTCCCTGGCCGCGCGACGGCGTAGTGGGGAGCATGCTGCGCTTCTCCAGAGCCAGGAGCCACAGCGACACGATGCACGCCATGATGAGAGCACACGCTTCAAACACCTGGCGGTACAGAATAATAATATTAATAATAATAATAAATGATATTTAAAATATAACACTCAACCCTGATTAAAGTACACAGTTAGTTTTAGTAAGTGTTTTACGGCACTTGCAACACAATAAGGACATATAAGTGCCATTAGGTGCTACAAGAGAGTAACAAACACAAAAAAGAAGGAGAGATAAGGACGATAGACGTTTGATAAGAAAGAAGAAGCAAACCACACCAGAGCAAACGCTTCAAACACCTGGCGGTACAGAATAATAATGATATAAATAATAATAAATGACATTTATAATATGTAGCACTCTACCCAGATTAAAGTACACAGGCTCTGAGCGCTTTACAATACAATACAATGTACAACATTAACATATAAGTGCCGAAGATTAGAGGTGTTACAAGAGAGTAACAAACATAAAAAAGAAGGAGGGGAGATAAGGGCGATAGATGTTTGATAAGAAAGAAGAAGCAAACAACACCAGAGCACCTGCCAACCACCCACTGGTACATAATAATAATAAATGACATTTATAGTATAGCACTCAACCCTGATTAAAGTAGACAGGCTCAGAGCGTTTTACAATACAATACAATGTACAACGATAACATAAAACGTTGTGTTCTGACCAAAAGAATAAACGAATAGAATTGCACAGTCAGGCGCAGATAACACGAACACAAAAAACTCGAAATCACAGATAGCTCATACAATTTGCCATTTCGCAACTGATATCTCTTCAATTTTTTGTGATCAGTTAGCCAAGAACTCAAAGACAAGCTGATTTATTTGCCTAGCCTCCACTGAAAAAAGCATCAATTTATCTTGAATAGAATTTAAGATATGTGCGAGTGAAGGAGGTGAGGTCGCCATTTTTCAGTGTTTAAATTAGCGAGAAAATGGCCGCCAAAGTTTGGTAACTGTAATAGCTAAAGAGTCTTTGAAAACTGAAAACTGACACATTTTGTGCCTTTAATCAATGGTTTTCAGTAAAATTCACATGAGAGTGTGTTTTTATATGGACATACAAATGGTTAAGACAAAAACAAAAATTGATTAAAAACTTCAAACTGGCGGGAAAATGCCCATTTCTCCGATTGCATTATTTTGACGAGAGCCTGGTTTCAACATGCTGCCTCACATATACATGAGAGAGATAATGGAAGAAGTCTATAAATAAACACACTGATCACAGCTCTCACTCACCTGGTACCCCAAAAGAATCCGTTCCCTCAGATACACGTCAAAAAGCACCATGTGAACCAACGCCTCCAGCATCAGTAGCATCGTGAGCAGCACCTACAGGGGATAGGAGTGAACATTGTTTCGTTTTATTAAGAGTTTTAAAGTCATATAAGTGCCGAAGACTAGAAGTGTTACAGGAGAGTAACATACACAAAAAAGAAGGAGGGGAGATAAAGACCGTGTCAATAAGAGCTGATAGATTTTTTATAGGAAAGAAGGAGCAAATTACACCAGAGCACCTGCCAACCACCCACAGTGAACATTGTGAATACTTTTCTTTCCCCCCCCTAAAATAAAAAATCTGGGTGTTTTTAATTTTTAACCCCCCCCCTTAACACAACTGAGATCATCTAGTACATATGGGCTTCCACCCGGTCTTAAGTTTAATTAAGTAAGAGTTTTGCGGCACTTGCAAACACAATAAGGTAATATAAGTGCCGAAGGTTAGAGGTGTTACAAGAGATTAACAAACACAAAAAAAGGAGGAGAGACAAGGACGATATGTTTGATAAGAAAGAAGGGGCAAACCACACAAGAGCACCCGCAAACCATCCACACACGACGCCTCTTTGAAAATTGAACACTGTTAAACCACGTCTGATGGGAGAGGGGGGGGGGCTTTTCTTTTTTAGTTTTACAATGCTTGCAACACAATAAAGTCATCAAAAGTGCTGAAAATTAGAGGTGTTACAAAAAGAGACTAACAAACACAGAAAACAAGGAGGGGAGATCAGATAAGGACAACAAATGTTTCATTGGAAAGAAGGAGAAAACCGCACCAGAGCACCCGCTAGCAACACACTGATTGATGTAGGCTCAAGAAAGTAACATCACAAGGTGAAACAGGAAATCAATTGCATCCAATTTCTCAATCACTAGCTTAAGATTAATTTGGAACCAAGAGAGAAAACATTCATTTCCAAGCTAGTTAGTGTAATGTTAGTATACACACACGACTGTAAACTGGAGAGACGAACAGACACGACAGTAAGCATTCTAATAATGAGCCCGGGTGTAGTGTCTGACTTTTTATGTTGATCCCCGAAGTGAGTAACATTAACCAAAAGCCCATGGTATACGGGGCGCTTACGTCCCGTGATTAAAAAAGAGTTAGGTACAGTACGGTGACTACCGTGATAGTTAGTGAATATTTGAATAAATATGTGTCATGAAGCGGTGGAATCAGGCGCTTGTCAATTTTTGGGCATATGGAGTTATTTAAATAGGTATCATCTGAAAGCTGATTTATTTGCCTAGCTTCCACTGAAATAAGCATCAATTTATCTTGAATAGAACTTAAGATATGTGCGAGTGAAGGAGGTGAGGTCGCCATTTTTCAGTGTTTCAATTAGCGACAAAAATGGCCGCCAAAGTTTGGTAACTGTAATAGCTAAAGAGTCTTTGAAAACTGACACATTTTGAGTTTTTAATCAATGGTTTTCAGTAAAATTCATATGAGAGTGTGCTTTTATATGGACGTACAAGAGGTTAAGTCAAAATACAAAAATTGATAAAAAATTTCAAATTGGCGGAAAAAGCCTGTTTCTCCGATTGCATTATTTTGACGAGAGCCTGGTTTCAACACGGTGCCTCACTTATACACGAGAGGGATAACATAGATACTCATGTCTCTCTGTCTTTCTTTCTTCTCTTTTTGAATCTATGGCAGGACAAACATCACAAATTGACAATTTCTGAGAAATTAGAGTTTTTCAATTAAAAAGATCAAAATAAATACTACTGAATATGTGAAATTGGTTAAAATCCACAACTTAATGTATTCAGGTCAACAATTTTGGAAAAAGCTCTGGGGAAGGGGGGGAGGGGAGAGATTTGGAGGACTTTGGAAATATAGGAATGGCCCATATATAAAACAAAATCGTAAGCAATCTTGGAAGAACACCTCTAAAACATTTAAACATTGTTAGTTCACATCACCTGAACAACATAGCCCCAGGACTTCAAGACTCGCCGAGGGTCAATGTACACGGCATACTTGCTGAACACTGTGCACTGAATGGCACCGGTTAAGCAAATGAAAATAAGTAAGATCCCAGACGAAGTTGACTCGTAGAAGCAGCGGCTGATGCCTTTCTCCACCCAAACGTGCGACCACTCGGTGCCATTTTCACAAAACAACATCTTGGCTGTTATCCGCTTTGACTTTTAAAGCTGTGGATATAAAAATGTAAAAACTTTATAATCTGAAGATCAAATCCTGCAGTTGACTGAAACAAGTGGTACATAAAAAACAGCAAAAAGTTTCAAAGTCAAAGAATGATTCTTAAAAATTTGTTTTAAATAAATGACTCTAAGTGAAGTAACACAGGGGAGGCAATTACAGCGAATTATAGGCGATTTCCAGGTTGAGAACCATAGATATGGGGTACATAGAAACGGAACCAATAAATTGGCAAAAAGATATTATTAATCCGAATACAGGAAAAAGAGGCTAAAAGAGCACCTGGACATGGATGGCTGGTGCCTCTATAAATAAATCATTGATGGTCTGGACAGGCAACACTTTTCTGTCCATTCATAAATATGGGCCTCTACACACTATATACAGTTATACTCAGTACACTCAAGAGAGAAAATAGTCAACTACCGTGTCCACAGTATTAGACCTGCAACATTTTACTACTATACTACAAGCGGTAGCGGAGTGGTTAGTGTGCTCGTCTCCTGGGTACCTGGCTTCGAGTTCTAAAGTGAAGTAAAGGTGGCATGGAAAGGAACAGGCCACCCTACCACAATATGCTGAAGGCCCCCTGGACGTTGTTTCACTAACAAGGCAATCCCCATAGTCCGGATCGAATGCAGTAGAACAACTTTACTTTTACTACAAGCCCACAAGCACATACCCTTTGCCCTGCAACCAATATTTAACATCATCCCAGCAGACACTAGAACACTCAGAAACATTCTTTTGGCTTCCTGGGAAGCATGTCATGTAGAGCGTATTTGCCATTTCACAAGTGCTCAAACAGTCACATACTATCGCAGTTTTCAGTAAATTTTAGGACACCCCGTAAATTCCCAACTTGATGTTTTCCAATTAGGTGGGCCGAATTAAACTTTGGCAGACAAGTTTATAAATGTGCACTGATAACAACAGTGGGGGGATTCAGGGGGGGTTGCCCCTGGAAACAACAAGAATTTAAAAAACCCACAAAAGTAAAATGAATAAATTTTTATAAATGAGAACAAAGAAAAGAAAAGTGGACCAGGAACTTTAAAAAATAGTTAGTGTATGACATTGCACAGCGAGGCTCAAAAGTAATTCCGGCTTCATTCCGTGTTGAGTCCACCAAAGTTCAATCTTACCATTATCTGTCCCCGAGGTTTTATGCACCCTGCAAAATTTAACAAAATTTGATCACTTTTTGCATAATTTCTGATTATTTTCCTTTATCATTCTTTGTTAAAATATTAATAAAATCGCATAATTTCGCATTTTTGGGCTCAGTTTGCATAATTTCAGTTCAAAATGTTTTTGCATATAAAACGACGGGGAGAGCATTAGTAAGATGGGTATGAAATTTTCCTGAAAACAATGGACTTGTGACCCATTTAGTGGCCATTGCTATTGCAGCTAAAATCATGGCGGTTTGACCCCCAACAAAAGTACGGACAGCTCTCTCATTCCGCATGCATGCAGCAGGAGTGAAAGTAAAATTGACTAATTTGATTATTTATCACGGAACTCTGACAAGATCTATGTGTAAAACTCAAAAACAATTTTGGCAAAATCTTGTGACTTGTGATGTCAGAGAAAAAAAGAAGGCCGGCACTATTTCTCAGAACGTTCCGGAAAATAAAGCTGGGCACTTTTTCTCCCAACGTTCGAGAAAATAAAGCTGGGCACTATTTCTCCAAACGCTCTGAAATAACATCCTTTCCCGCAAATTTCGGATATAGATCTATAATTATATTATTTATAGGCCTACCAAAGATTGTTCATATACAATATGGTTCAATCGGTCCAAAAAATGTCCGCAGTAAATATTTATATAAGAAATGCTACAGTTCCAAACAGTTTTTCGCTACAGATATGACGTGTTGCCTATGAAGGGTGCTGCTCTTAAAATTAATGTGTTGTGTTTACTCGTGTGCTATCTAGATCTAGATCTAGATCTATGGAGGGTTATTGATAACAACACATAGAACAAGCATAGATTGCGTTTGTCGCGGCCGCGACTTATCAATCGTGGCTAAATTTTTGGGGCATTTTTTGGTCCCCGAATCGGGGATTAAAAGTCAAATTTAAAATTTAAAAAAAGAAAGAAACTGAACCTCTTTACTTTTGAAATAAAGTTCACACATAGCTTCACTTCGTCTCTTTCTCACTTGTCACCACGTTGATTTGTTGAATACGTTACAGTTACATACGATTTGTATTGCTGTTCCTCTTTTATCAAATGTTTCCCTCTTTCAAGTCTTTGTCGCGTTTTATTTTGTTGGTGAGTAATTTTTTTTTCCTGTTATTGTTCTGATGTGTTGTTTTTCTATTAATTTTTTTTTTGTTGGGGAAAGGGGGGGGGGGGAATGTTGTATAGTGTAACGTCATTTAATTTGATGTTCCTACCTTCATTAGATTCTAAATTATTACACATAGATCTAGATTTAAATGTGTTATATGTTAGAGCGTTCCACCAAAACAGATTTCATGTACTGACACTGGCAGGCCCCTTGAGTGTGATTCCATAATTTACATGTAATATCCTGTACTTTTTTGGGGGAATTACGCACACTTAGGGTTAAAACAGCCAATTTCTTCGGACAGGTGGACACACGCCCTTAAGTTATTTGTTAATTTTTGTGGTCGTTTATGGACTGTTCTAATTTTGGGCGTTTTTTCGGTTGTTCCCACCCCGCAACTGCTATTCGCCGGTTTTCGCCCCAAAAGTAGGGGGGTTTCAGGGGGGCCCCTTTGAATTTTACCACAATTTAATGTTTTGAAGTTGTTAGGTTTGATATCTTAGCTTGCCGTGCATCAAACGTATAGGATCTAGATTCTATGTAGGTCAGGCTCAAATTAGGGGGGTGGGAACTACCGAAAAAGCACCTAATCTAATTTTGATTTCATTCTGTTGTGAATCCTTTCTTTTTCACGTTTTTACTCATCTAAAAATCTCTAGACTAGCTCTTGAAAATTGAAATAGATCTAGATCTAGATCAAGACCCAAAAATTGGCTCCTTCCCAGACCTCGCAGCATGGCAGAATGAAAGTTGGTGCCGAACTCTCACAAATAGGCAAAAAATCACGAGACCGGAAGCCGGAAACCCTTCGGAGAAATAAAGATCGGCATCATTTCTCCAAACATTCGGAGAAATAGTCGCTTTGAAAAAAAGGCTGTAATTCCCGATGATGAGCCATGAACATAATGTTTTCCAAGTCTAAGAGGTAGATCTAGATTCTAGATCTACAAAATTTTCAGAAGAGAAAACAGTTGGTTTATGGTGGCTTTAATGGCCATAGATCTAGATCTAGATATCTTGATCTCTAGATGTGTTACATTTGCAGCCAAAAAACGATCAACAAAAATCTGAGCATCCCTCACACTCACAGTACACTGCCTGCGTCTGCAGCAGTCAAGAGTAGGCCTGAGGCCTGAGTAGGAGTGAAAGGGGAAAAATTACAAAATTGTATAGTTTATAGGCTATAAATCTAGATCTCTAGATCTAATCATCATCATAGAACTCATTAGATCTTAGATTAGATCTCAAGATCTATTCACGTGATGAATTTGACGATAAAAAACGACAAGTCATAATTACGTAATAAGAAGAAGAACAATGGCCCCCACCCACTGCCACTGGAACAACCCTGCCGCAGCCTCACACAAGTGATGATACTAAAATAATTTTCCCTTTCAGTTGTAGAGAGATCTATCTACACGTACACGTTAATAGTTACTGCAGCGTCAGTCATAGATTGACATTGTCAGGACCACGAGAAACACATAGAATACACCAGCGCCAATTCTCTGAACGAGCCTTCTCTGGACCTGTACTTACTGGTCTCCTGACAAGGCACTTTGTCAATTTATACTTCTGTAGAATGTCAATCTGACCCCCAACCACTACTACGAATCCAAGTTTTTAGATTAACTCCACAACAAAGAACGATGAGGGGTGTGTATTTCCACGGCGTTGCTCCGAATGAAAAGTCTTAGCCTACAATTTCACGTTAAATTCAGTTTAGAAATGTCCATTAATGAAAGACTAAATTTGAATATATCATCAAATACAGCAAAATGAATTTATGTGCTTACGTCAGCATCAATTTACAGTGTTTTTTCTTTCGCTGTCAGATGATTGAAGTCGTGGGATAACCAGGGATAGATCTAGTAGTGTGTGTTTTAAATTCCTCATCCTTTAATTTCTGGGGAACATACAGGAACACTGACCATTTCTTCAACTGATAACTAAAACAAGCAGAATTCTTATAGAATGACAACCCAAAGTTCACGACTTACAATACACTGGTGATGGCAATCAAACAGAATTCATGAAAGCGAGTCAATGTGTATTCGTCACCTCACCACAGACTTGTACATAGCATACTAAAATATCCAAGACTGTGCATACTGACGTACTTCCGGTTCATCATTGGACTGTTAGAAAGGGCAAGGGGGGGGGGGGGAGGTTGCGCGCGCACCAAGGATGTTATACATGTGTACAAGGTCCTTGGCGCGCACTTGACTGTCTCGAGATGCGTCTTTTTCCCTTCCTGCACGCACGCTCACAAGAGACAAGGGTCAAAGATTCACTAGCGGTTAGCCTAATTAGAGAACATCAGGAGTACGCCACTGGCCGATATATATAGTAGCAGGCACCTTGTTTGACGTCATAGAGGGATTCCCCCTTTGTTGTCAGTCATGGTGAGTGGCAACACGACCGTACTTCTGACGTTCTCTTATCATCCGCTTGTCAAAGATTCTCTACTACTGGCAGTAGATGAATCTTTGCTCAAGGTGCGCCTTAAATTAGTACTGCGTAGTTGTTGTTGTTGTTGTTTTTTGTCTTTTCCTTTTTTAAAATTGAGGTCAAAGAACGGCAACCATGACAGTGTCTAATCTAGGATGTTAATAATATGAATCAAGTCTATGGTATGCACACGCACGAAGTTAATGACCGCTTCATCATGCAAACAAATTTTTTTTTTAAATGCAACTAAAATCTGTACCCGGACATAAATTTTCTTTGACATTTGTGTACACTGATATATTATGTGCACGCCGACGGGGTGCCCACTACAGCTGGGTCGGGCCGATAGCTCGACTCGATCGCCTGAAACTGAAAACAAACGCGTTTGTTTTGAGGGGATAATCCCATTGATGGGAACCACGTAATTATTTTAAATTGTGATGAAATTTTTCGCTGTCTTTCGGCTATCGGTACATGTACTGGCATAACTTTTATAAAATAATAAATTCGATTCTTTTAAAACGGTAAACTTACGCTAGTTGTTAAATTGATGATAGCAATCAAGTGCTGGAGTGTGTGTGTGTGTGTGTGTGTGTGTGTGTGTGTGTGTGTGTGTGTGTGTGTGTGTGTGTGTGTGTGTGTGTGTGTGCTTGTTTCTGTTTGTTTAGTCTGAGTAAAAAGAAGCACACTGGCGCGAAACAGGCCATTCAGTACTGGAACGAAGCAAGAAAGACAGAAAGAAACAACCATCATAAGGAAAAAAGAAAACAATAAGATATATTATAAATATACTAACGCGCGCTAATATGATATGCAGTTGCGAGCGCCGTATAGCACTTACCAATTTTTTTATATTTTTTAAAAAGATCTGATGTACTACATTATAAAATTAGGGCAGTGTGTCATTGTCGCCCTCCAACAAGTCTATCGGTGCTTATAATGAAAACAGAACATCATATTAAAGGCCTAATGTTATGAAGTGCAGTCTGACCCACTCTTAAGGACTTTAGACACATCCTTGCCTGCCCCACGTATCATTTGGCCTATTTCCATTTTATCACGATAATATACCAGTTTATTCTCGTACGACGTTGCTTCCAGTGTTGGCACTATCACGAAATCAGGCATCAGTCTCAAACTTAACCCTGTCCGTACGTCGTGTTTTACTATCGTATCCATACGACGTGGGGAATTCTTTACCAACACTTTCCAAAGAGAAAATTTACTCGTTAATCCGATCCGTACGCTTTGCATAGCAGTCTGTCAAAATGATTCTTTTTATAAATACTGAAAGTTTGAAAGAGATCTTCGCACTAGAAGTAGAAGTATAGTATTCTTTAAAAATGTGAAAAATACAACTCCTGGGATACAAAATGACCCCAAGGCGTACGGATAGGGTTAAAAGTCTCATCGAGGTTGATGCGCTAGAGATGGTGTGTGCGGGCGTGTGTTATGTGTGTGTATGTGTGTGTGTGTGTGTGTGTGTGTGTGTGTGTG